CACAACCCGCCCCCACCGCCTGGCCCCGCCCATACAGGAAGTGGAAGGCTGCACACCGGCGCAGCCTCTGCGCGTGCGCACAGCGATCTGCCTGCGGCCTGCGCCGCCGCGGTGCGCCTGCGCCGCCACAGCACCTTTCCCGCCTACAGCGACCGGGCACCCCCTGCTCTACGGTCGCGTCCCGCTCTCCCTCGCAGGAGCCCCCACGGCACCACCTGCGCATGCGTCGCGCCCTGTCGCTGTAGGCGGGAACGGTGCGGTGCCGGCGCATGCGCAGGTGGTGCCGTGGGTGTTCCTGCGAGGGAGAGCGGGACGCGGCCGTTGGTGTGACCGTTTAGAGAGGCAAAGGGCTGCCGAGAGCTGCCTGGCGGGACGCGGCACAAAGGTGCCCCCTCACTGAACAGCGGGTAGCTCCTGCTTGATTCAAAAAAGGCCCGCAGCTGGAGCCCTAATGGAGACAGTTCAGCTCCCTCTCCAGAGTTCAGGTTTTGCTACAGCCTGTTTGATGCCGTGAATGTGAGGTAGCAGCAGAAGTGTTTAGGCTGACAGCCACTCACAGCAAGAGGAAAGTAGCCTAAAGAGGTCCAAAACTTTAGGCCTGTTTTCTCGAGGAGAGAAAGAGTAGCAAAGGAAAGAGTTATCATAAACAAAGAGTAAAAGATAACCTTTTTCTTCCATGCAATTGGTAAATATGAGAGAGTGAGAGAAGTGCAAGGTTTACTTTATATGAACTGCAGAAAAACAAGTAATGGTAAGCAGGTGGAAGTGGACCTTCTGGATGAATGTATACAACAGGAATAACTAATTCTTGTTGGAAGAACTCCACAAACACTACCGGCGCCCACAAGCCTGTCAAAATATTTTACATTTGGTCATGGAAAGCCATCTCAGTAGAGGAAACAGGTTTAACTAAGGCTGAGGAACGGGCACAGTGAATTCCCTGAACAGAAAAGGAACCACCACTACCATTGCTACATGGTGATGTTAAAGAACCTGAAACACGCTTGTTAATAAAGGGCAACATGTCAAATAAATTCCTGACTGGATAAGAAAAGGACATTTTAAATTTCAGCACAGTCTAGAGCAGACCTATCCCATGCAAAACAAAAATGGAATAATTTGCAATGATGCTGTCATTGTGCAGATGCAACACAGAAAGTGTTCCAGTCCTGATTTAAAGTGCTGTGAGAGAATACTAGTTACGCATATTCCTGAACTCTAATTTTTTGATATTTAAATACTAGAATTACATCTAAAAAGTACTCTGAGATGTGTGATAACCAGACTGGGTTTTCATCTCTTACCTTTGATGAGGTTTGGGTTGTGGGGAAAAGCATGCTAAGAATGCTATTGCATCATGGTATGTGCTCAGGGATGGTCCTAGTTGTCTTGTCCCCAGAAACAAACCTTACTGGTCTCCACAGAGACAAAATTTCTAAGGAAGGGGAGTACATACATGTGCTCACTGAAAACAATTCACCAGAGACTGACTTGGGAAAGACAATCAGCCAACTGAGGTGATTCAGAGCAAAACTGGGACTGTGTGATACCAGGCCTTCATCAGACAGCAGGTAGGAAAACCAAATTACTGTATTATAAATAGAGATTATAGAAAGTTTTTGTTGGATAGTCCAGGTTAACCTCTGCTTTAAATAAATTATACCTTATCGCCTGAATTCTCCCTCAATTCAGCTGAATGAAACCTTAAATGTATACGGAAGCACATCACCAGAATTTTCCCTGCTCTAAAATGTGGGCTTTCTGTGTTTTAAATAGTATTGGTGTCATTTCCTCTCTTTCCTTACAAATGATAAAAGCTTTTCATTGATAAAATAAATTTCATTTATTTTGTGCTTTCTATGATAACTGTCAGTGACACTAGGACGTTTTCTCTTTTTCATATGTTGTGCTGTGTTTTGCTTGTTTCTCCTGAAGGTGAGTGCTTTGGCAAAAGAGCTTCCTGAATGTATGCAACAGGAATAGCAATTCTTGTTGGAAAAAAACTTAACTAGCTTCCCTGTTTATTTTGGTTTATTCAAAAGGAGAAGAATTAAAAGAATATGCCTGAAATATGGCTGTGAGTTTAGTGTGGGTTTTTTTTTTTTTTTTGAAAAAGAGGTGTTGAATTGCTTCTTCCAGGAAAAGACGCAGCAATCAACTTTCTTAAAATGACTTAAGAGGGACAAAAGCAAGCAGTTATCCTATGAGGCTGTTATAATAGGTCTATGTGGTTACTGAAGAATTAATACAGGTGATGATGTATGGATGTCATGAATTCTTAGAGAACAAAGAATCTTTGGTACTTACAGTAGAAATAAATACCTGGCAAGCTATAGAAGTAAAGCACAGCCGATCAGAAAAAGAACTTGATTTCATAATACATTGGCTCAACTGGAGAGCTTATGTATTTGTCCAAAAACACTAAGCACTCAGTCTTCTTTCTATCCTGACCTATTTATTTTGCTATTGCTGTCAAAATATACTTCAATAAGTACTGTATCGCATTAAATTAATCTGCAAATACGGTTTTTGTTTTATTGAAGCAAAAATCTAACTATTATTATATTTTATCTGTTTAGTA